TGACAGCCCTGCGGAACTTACGTTCACCGAGATGGACGTCGGTTGGTGTGGGGAGCGCTGTGAAGGTGTTTTCGGTAAACTCCGCGTAACCTTTCCAATCAGCTTTAGAAAAGTTGATATAGGTCCGGTGTTTGGCGGAGGCAAAGTCGGTTGGTTTATCTATCGAGATGACTATGGGTAGGTGGTCTGATGCTAGAGTCAGCATAGGTCGCCATGTTATGCTTTTTATCAGACCAGCGCTGACTATTGTGATGTCTGGCGAGCTACTGCAGTTACCCATAATCCTGGTGGGTGCGTCGTCGTTCATTGTGCAGAATGTCGAATCGTCTATCTGCTCAGCCAAGTCTGTTCCCCTACGATCGTTTGACAGGCTTGAGTGCCAAAGATCGTGGTGCGCATTAAAGTCACCTACTACCATACGGTTTTCACCTCTAAGGAGCGCACCTATATCAGGCTGATATCCTGCCGGGCAGCAGGTGACAGGGGGTATGTATATGTTAAATATTTCGAGCTCGACATCGCCTGAGCGGATAGCGATGCCCTGACATTCTAGGGTGGTATCCCTGCGGTCGATGTCTGCTTCGATTAGACGATACTGCACGGTGTGGTGCGTGATGAACGCTAAGCCACCACCATTATCTCGCTCGCGATCTCGACGGTGCACGTTGTACCCGGCGCAATTCAACAAAGTTGAATTGCTGTGCAACCTCGTCTCTTGGACCGCAGCTATCAATATACCATGCCGACACATGAAGAGGGTTATCTCCTCAATCTTGCTCTGTAGCCCGTTGCAGTTAAATTGAAGGAGCTTCATGTGGTTCGGGAGACGTGTTGTGATGTGGGGTGTAAGGGATATGTGTGTTCTTACTGCCGTTGGCTGTGTGCGCTGCTGTGATGGTTGCCGCCCTGTGGTGGGGGCGGGAGGCGTCGCAGTTGGGGTCTGCGACCGAGCAGCGCAACACGGGCCCTCGAAGTTCCTCGTCCAGTCTCGCGTGGTACGCAGACCTGAGCATGCCCTAAAGTGGCACCAGCCAAGGTGGGTGTTGCACTTGACTGATGTCACATTACAAAATATCCTGGTCTGACATACCGTGCAGATTGTAGGGGGAACCAGGAGTTGTTGGCGGCGGCGTGTGGGTGGTGGTGCGGTTGTGTGTGTTATGTGGTCTGTCGTGGCTGTGGTATGGTCTGTGGTGTTATTATGTTGTTGTGTTGTGGTGACTGTGTGAGGCTGCTCGGGCGGACTGTGGTTAGCCGTGGAGGCTGCTCTGTTTGAGCAACAGAGGGCCACGTACGACGTGGTCCACTGTCAATGTGTCCGTAGACCCGAGCAGACTCTGGGGTGACTCCACCCCTCGCAGGCATTACACTTGACTGAGGTGGAGTTGTGGTGTAATCGTCTCCGGCATACACAGCAGTTGTAGGTTTCTGGCCCTGGGTTTGACTCGATGCCAGCCCTGAGTAGAAGAATACGTAGTGAATGTAGCCCTATGGACGGACAACTTCTGAGATACTTCGCCGACCTAAACGGGGTTAGAACGCCGAAACAACAGCCCTTGGTCGGGTAAAACCCGACTCATTCCGGTACGTAGAACCGGCTGTCGTGGGAACGCTTACTCGATGGTTGTTGTGTTTACTTTCTTCTTTTATTTGCAGATATTAAGCATAAAAAATACATACATATTTACATAAATAGTTACTGGTGTAAATAATACATATGTATATGGTGGTAAGAATTTCCTAAAAAGAAACGATGAAACAGGAATAGTCGTGCGAAAACCCAGGTCAATATCTGCTGGAAGTGCTGGTTTAAGTATACTGCTTTGCTTTTTCCTTGGCTAAATAGATACTTTCAAATTATAATTCACGTGAATTATATATTCACTGAGAAACCCCGGTTGGCATCAAACTTTATGGCCCGTAGTTATAGTCAAAATAAAGTCGACTCTAAAGTTAAAAGCACCTTTTTGACATAACTTTCAATGGGATATCTGTCAAAAAAACCTGCTTTTAACTTTAAGGTCGACTTTATTTTGACTATAGCTACGGGCCTATATTTTTAAATAACTATGCGCACACCGAAACTCGCGGCGATGGCAAAACTGAAACTGAGACAAACAAGTCTGGGCAACTTTTGATTTTCAGAAAGCACCAAAAACTCGAAAAAAAAGCGTTTTACCAAATTAAAGCACCATTTTTTTTTAATCAAAAGATGCTTTTTTCGTAAGTTTGTATTTAACAATAGCAAAAAATTAACAATATTTACAAGAATACATGCATAAATCAATACACAAAACGTTTTCGCTTATAACGATTGAATAGCCTCTACACATGCTATGATGACTCATGCTTACGACGTAATACCGAAGGACTATTAAAACTAGTATATCTCGAGAAAGAAAAATCGAATCGCCACAAACGAGAATAATGCCCTAAGTAGAAATGAGCAAAAAATTTAATGTTCTCATTATATAACCTCAAATATCGCAAAAAAAGCCGTGTTTTTGGCAATCTGGGGGTAGGATATCTAAAAATTCTAGTACTAGAGCAAATGTACGGCCAGATTTGGATTCAGCACCAAGAAATGATAAGTTTTACTCAAGTGGTAAAAAAATCAAAATTTGTACAAACAATTAGAAAGGGAAAAAAGAAATACATACCTTCTCTGAGAAAAAGGATTCGTTTCGACAACTAAAGATATTTAGTTCCGGAATTTTTACAATATTTGGGAACTGTGACCAAGGATCCCAATCCTACCATGGTTGGTAATTACCATGGGTTGGTAATTATAACTAAATATATTAAAGCTTCTAATATTCATCTAGGTTGTACCAAATCGTTAATTTAGTTGAAGGGTTTGGTAAATACTAACAAATATTTTTTTGAAGCATATTTCTACAAATTCTATTCAACTTAGCGTATGGTTCATAAAAGGATGTCATTAAGCTCTGCTACTATAGATAAGCTTTCTTTCAACACATGGTTTAGTCATAGTTACCAAATCTTAGTTGAGGCAACCACGATTTGGTTTGAGAGCGGAACATATTCATGATTGTGAGCCACCCCTAAATAATGATCAGCGCTCTCTGAGAACATGTGTGTTTCACATACGAAAAGCGCCAGCTAAGCAATGCATACAGGCCCACTTATTGAATCTTTTGAATGCGCTAGTATGCCGACCATAGCATAAAAACGATTTAATGAATGAGACTATGTGCGTAGAAATCATTGCTCCGCTACCGCTGTTCGTATGTGGGTGAAACACACGATTGAGAGAATACAAAGGTTGCGCCGATCTCGGACCGCTATTCCTCTCGTAACGAATTTGACAGAATCGTGGTTTGCATGACATCACACTTGTGCAACTTGTTTACGTTTTCCTTGCAACATTTTTTCTTCTTCTTCTATTCTTGCTCACGTTTTGGCATTTTTCTCTCGCAATTGCACCAGTGTGACGTTACACAAAAGTTATTCTCAAAAATCCTCTCTGATCGGCGCAATCTTGTATTCTATCATTCTTGGGTGAAACACGCGTGTGGTCACAGAGCGCTCAGTAAGCTATGGCTTGTTGATTAGGGATGCAAATTTTTGGGGAGTAACATCGATACATCGATGTTTCGATGCTTCGGAAAAATGAACATCGATGCTAAAATACATCGCCAGAAAAACATCGATATATCGATGGTTTCCGATGGTTCAAAATTTGTTAGGAAAATTTAATACTCTCTGTACTACTCATCTACTCATTTCAACTCTCTGTAATTCAATTATTCCCATTATTTATTTACCATTCCTTTACCCTTCCTATAAATAGAATAGAAATGCATGCCGTTGTAACTTCGTTGAGCCTAAAGTTCCAAGACCCAATTTTGTTGAAATTTCAACGGGAGGCCGTCTCTTTTTCAATGACCAAGTAAGCATTTCTAATATCGAAACATAAGAGTAAACTCGGAATTTCTAAATGTTGCTTCAAAGAATAAGTATTAAAATTCATCGCCAGTCAAAAATTTTAGGAGCATAAGTCGATGTTAAAACATCGCTGAAACTGGCATCGATTTATCGTAAATTTAGCGATTTTACGAAATTGAAAATTATCGATGGCAAACATCGAAGTTTGAACCGATATTATCGATGTTTCAAAAATATCGATCCATCGTTTGCATCCCTAATGTGGATCACTGCGCTAGGTAGAGAAAGAAAAGTGTGTGCTATGACATGCCCAGGCTTGTTTGTCTCAGTTTCAGTTTTGCCATCGCCGCGAGTTGTTTCGGTGTGCGCATAGTTATTTAAAAATATAAAGTTTGATGCCAACCGGGGTTTCTCAGTGGATATATAATTCATGTGAATTATAATTTGAAAGTATCTATTTAGCCAAGGAAAAAGCAAAGCAGTATACTTAAAGCAGCACTTCCAGCCGATATTGACCTGGGTTTTCGCACGACTATTCCTGTTTCATCGTTTCTTTTTAGGAAATTCTTACCACCATATACATATGTATTATTTACACCAGTAACTATTTATGTAAATATGTATGTATTTTTTATAATATCTGCAAATAAAAGAAGAAAGTTAACACAACAACCATCGAGTAAATTTTGATTTGTGTCAAACTGAAACTTTTTTCCAATAATAAACGGTTAGCTGATTCACGTCTACAGCAAGTTCACAAAATTTATTGAAAACTTGTATCAACCAAAGCATTGTTTATATTTGCTCTACAATTATTTTATTCAACTAATGATATTGCCCACTCAAGGTACTCTTTTTGTAATTATTAACAAATATACATTTGTCCCAACTAGAAGTCTCAAGTAAATTGCAGACTTTCGGGAACTAGATATTTATTTCGCCATATCCATCTATGCCACTTGGTCACTATAACTAAATCTTGGTAATTATAACTAAACCTTTTTCTGAGTGTAAAATACCTACTCCCTTGTAAACCCTTAATTTGAAAACTTCAATTTGCATTCATATTTAGTAAAACTTATATTTTTTAGTGCTTTAGAAACACTGCAGTCCAATCGGCGTCACTCAATATTCTTTCAAAAGGTCAATCTAAATGAGATGGTCATGTGCCTTGAAGATTTAATCAACTATTTCTCCCAACCAGAGGATGATATGGGTAAGTTATCCACACAGAAAAAACCTATGCATAGAACTTACCCTATAAGCAATTCGGTAGTCGAATAAGAAAATAACAAACGCCTAGTTAAGTATTACTATGTTTATGTTTCATTATGGTGACGTGCCAAAATGTCAATTGATATGAATTCTCTTTTGTAAAAGATAGATATATATGTATGTACAAGTGTATACATAAATGCTCAGAAGGAAAAAATTAAGCGATTAAGCCGTGCCAGTCTGTCCGTCTGCGCACACGAAAACTAGAGGACAAATTTAGATATGTATATTAACGAAACTTGGTACGGGTGCTTTTTTGAGCCAAGGACCGATGGTATTGAAAATGGGCAAAATCAAATAATAACCACGCCTACCTGGCATATAACGATAGCTTTCAGAAATATGGAAACTGCGATATTTTGGTAACTACTGAAGCTTATTCACTCAAAATTTATATTTGCAATGATCTCTTGGTGTACAGTTGTTGGTCTTAGTAAAACATATTAAACGGCTGAAAATTTTTAAAATCGGACAATACTAAAAAATAGCCCACGAGAAATGCGAAATCTTCGACAAATCAGTAACTACTAACGCTAATTTATTCAAAATTGATGTTTACAATATTTTTTTGCAAAAAATTCGTTTATAAAAAAATTTTGGAAAATGGGAGTGGTACCGTCCACTTATGGCCACACACATATATGAGACATACTTTTTCATATCGGACACCAAATTTGGTGTCACAATTTCGATTGGCTTAATTTTTTTTTGGGCTCTATGCATGAAATAAGCTAACACGTGTTCGAGGAATTATTTTTTTCGCATTTTTCCTATGGAGATATGATCTGTCAAAGTTTGCATTTTTTCATGATTCTGACTAATCACGTACTTCTTCAAAACGTAATATCTCGGGTTCCGCCCATTGTAGAGAGGGGCTTAATATTTCTATATATAAGATGGTCAAGATTCTCCTAAAGCTAACTTAGCTATTAACAATTGAACTTTTTGAAGTTGATTTGCATAGTGAATACCAGTAAATTAGGGATTTAGAATTATACCATCATAATCCTTGCTTAATTCTCTATAAAAATATTGTTAACGAAGGGATATTCTGCCGAAATCCGCAATAAAATCTGCGCTTAGCTAACTTTAGTCCTGTAATTGCCACGCTCAATTCTAGAGGTGTGTCGCCTTAAAAAAAAAATATTGCCGTAAAATCCGCAAAAATTTTTACTTTTTGAAAAATCCCGATGTTTAACACCATACTAAATATATCTTAGTTTTCGAAAAAATGTGAAGGTAACACCGCTGAGAGGCAGCCTGAACATTTTTGGAAGTTTGCTAACATAACACAAATGTTTTCAAATTTTCAGTCTCACAAATGCAGCCTCACTTTCAGTCTCAAATAAAAGAAAATTTTAATATTTTCATCTATTTGTTTTTTGTTTTACTTTAATCTGGCATTTGAGTTGCACTGATAACTTCAATTTTATAACGTAGACAAACTTCAAAAAATGATTGATGGCAGACGAATTGAGCGAGCGGTTTTACCCAGAGATGGAAAAGTAGGCACAATAGTGCCATTTTTGGCACTTCCATTCTCAGAGGCACTTTTGGCACAAGTCATCCTCTTTTGGCATAATCATAATTTATAGAAACTTATGTATTCCAATATATAACAAAAAATCACATTGTTTAGGTCCGCGACCTAAATATATTGCACCACCCTAATACGCGTTTTGTCACTTGATGTAAGAGCATACAAACACATATATAAGTTGCGGCTAACTTTCCAGCCGCTAACAATAAGCCCCACTGTACGGTAACTTAGCTGAGGGGAAACTTAACGAAAGTTACTGTGCGGTGGGCTACATACCTTTTCGTTTGTTAGCACTTTTTCACTTCTCAGAAGACCGTCTGAAAGGAGATATCGCAGCTGTCACATCTCGTTTGGTAAGCCAATTCTTGTGTATCAAAATATTTAAACGCACAGATAACTAAAAATAAAACGACCTTTGATTTCACTGTTCTAAAACCACTTTGTGCGACGCCACCTGCGTAAATATTGGTCTTCGAGCCTAAAAAGTAACCACATTATACAGTCCACACAGCATCACATCTGAGTGTTTTCAACTGCCTCAACCGATCGCCACATTGTTCCACATTGGTCACGACAGCATCACGTTCGTCTACATCTACAACCTGAGTTTTTCGCACCACAACCAACGTGCCACAAGAGCTACATCAAGCGTTTTTCTTCGGTTTGTTACTCAAGCAGCGATTGTTTGGTTCATCGCTTAACCGGCTGTTCAAATTGCTTAACCGGCTGCATCACATTGACCACAAGCAGCACGTTTGCATCACAGCATCACGTTTGCATCACAGCACCACTAGTTTCAGCGACACATTTTTTAACAAACCAGCATATCGCACTACACGGCATATAACAACACATTAAAGTACGTGGTTGAATTTCATTGCACTTGTGTGTGTACGAATCTTAACAAAAAAACAAAACGCGCGTGATTATTTTGTAAAAATAAAAAGGGGCGAAAACTCAGTGCTTAATATTTTTCCGAAAACAAAAAAACAATAGAACATTTTCACGTTTATTAGTGTATCGGCTAACATTAACGAATTGCGCGAACGTTTATTTTGATTCTTTATACGGTGTTGTTTGTGTAAAAATATCAGTCGCATCTACCGAAGCACAAGATTGATAAAATTTATTCTTTTCTTGCAAAGCACAGAATTTAGTTTTTCTCATTTTACTGGCTTTCACTTTTATTTGCATTTTATTAATCGCGTAACTTCAAGTATATTTTGCGAAACTCCTTGGTTTCTTTTCTCATTGCACTTGTCTATTATTAGTGGCGCGCTTGTACATATTGCTGATCACTTCACTGGGTTGTTTCCCCCATTTATTTGTTTGTTGCACAAAATCACAGCCGCGCTTGAACACAATTTTTTCATCAGAAATTTACAAATTGCATATTGTGAATTTTAATTATTTAGACACGTACATGACATTTTTTTATAAGTTGGGTGGCGAGTGACTTGCACATTTCTTTTGCATATACGCATATATACGTAATTGCGTACTCAACAGTTTCACATGGCTGGAAAATAGATAAGTCATTACTTAAATATACAATACCTTTGTTGTTCTTATAAGAACTATGCTTATTTCGGGCTAAGCGGTTAGTGGAAATATTTTCCTACAAATCGGCGATTTCTATTACTACAGACAAATTTCTTTTCTTGCGTCCAATTGAGTGTTCGTTGGTTGTCAAAAATGGATACCTTTATTCGTCACCACCTTTACCACCTACCTCGTCTGCAACCACATAAACAAAATTGATTCATGCCTTATAGAGGAGGAGAGTGTAGGCGAAGGATAGAAGGAAAGCGAAGAGTAGAAACCAGTCCGGTCAGGCGGAGTCATCCCTCCCCATCTGCTCAATTCCCAGAGCAGTCATGGACCTTGCTACGACTCCAACTACTCCGCAAGGTCCCCTAAACCTGACACTCGTACTTATGTAGATCTAAGTTCTGTCTGGTCGCATGTCAGTATCGTTAATACGTCAACACACCCCTGTACCATAGTTGCTCCCGTGCAACACCTCACACCAACAGAATGCGTCTAATTATTCATATTTGTGCCCTTATCAATCAGATAAATCCAAACTATCAAACCATCTTCTTTCTTCATAAATATGTACAAGAATATTTACACTATAAAATTTAATTACAAAGGTATTTCAAAAATTTCATTAATTAATATCTTTAATTTATACTATCTCTGAACTACTATCAATATTTGAACAGTCACAATACGAACTGTATGTATATACATATATGCTTGTGAATCTTCTTCTCTGTAAAGACAATAAATGCAGTTTATTTATCCGCTTATATTTTCCTCTTGCATTCATAACAAGAAAAGTATACATATGTATGCACATACGTATATAAAAATTATTCCAACTATTCCTCTTTGTTCCTATTTTTGCTAGGCTGAATCTGGCTATGCTCTCCCTCGCTTCGAATGTTAAAACATTGGTTCCATGTTTATATGTAGATAACTTACACTCTATCACTTACCGATCTCTCTTCCGATAGAGGCGCCTGCATCTAGGAGATGGGGTAGCTGAAATGCAATGTCACTAGCATACATACACATATAATCATAAATTCCAAATATAAATATATTCACTACCAAAATTAAAAGATTTGAGGTTATGGCTGCCTCGTGGGTGCACCCCCCTCTGCTCCCAGGTGCCCAAATTCTAGTGAGCGCACTGGAACTGATGTTGCGCTCAGCGGAGCGCTATGATGGAGCGGTGGAAAAATATTCCCGCGACGTCTGGCGCTCTGGTGCATAGATGTATGCGGATATGTAAACGCCTCCCTTTCTCCCTCTCAATCCGCTGAATCTGATCGCTTTTTATGTTTCTTATGTAAATGGTTTAAATCCTATGCCGTTTCAGGATGTGAAAAATTCCAACAAGCCTCGGATGAGACCCCCTTTTTCTGATGACGACCACGGCAAACGTATAAAGGACTATGATTTAAGGGTATGCACCTGGAATATCCGGACCCTTAATGGGGAAGGTGCCTCTGCCCGGCTGGTTGATGTCCTCGGGAAGACAAAGGCTGACATCACCGCCATCCAAGAAATGCGATGGACGGGGCAAGGTAAAGTAAGCGTGAAGCCTTGCGACGTCTATTACAGTTGCCACGTAAAGGAGCGCAAATTCGGTGTTGGATTCGTGGTAGGAGAGAGACTCCGTCGCCGAGTACTGGCGTTCACCCCGGTGGACGATCGTCTAGCCACAATCCGCATCAAAGCTAGATTCTTCAACATCTCGCTCATCTGCGCCCATGCCCCGACGGAAGAGAAGGATGAAGCGTCCAAGGATCTCTTCTATGAGCGCTTGGAACGTACATATGAGCGCTGCCCCCGACACGATGTCAAAATCGTGCTTGGCGATTTTAATG